CCGGGCCCGGGGCTACGGGCGACCCACCGGCCGCCCTGGCGCTACCCGCCCCTGGCGCGGCTCCCGCTCACAGAAATTGAGTGTGGCAGGCGCCGGTTCACCGGGAGGTCAGGCAGTCTGGGGCCGCCTTCTCGCCAGCCAGAGCCGCCCCAGCAGCGCCGGAGCATCCCAGCCCGGGAGAGCTGTTGTCTTCCCGCAGGACGCCGGCAGCCGACGGCACGGCGACGGTGCGGGGCTGCTTTGCCAGGGCACCCCGGGTCGAGGTGCCAGCCCCCCGGGCAGGAGGAGCCCCCGGGCCTGTCGCTGCTCCCTGGGCAGGCGGGAAAGGAGCGAGCGGAGCGGAGCCAGCTCGCCTGGAGAGCGCTCAGCGGCATAAATCAGTACCGGGACCCGGCCCAAGCCCCGCAGTAACACGATGAGCTCATCCCGGTAGCTCACTCCCCTCCGCCCCGGGCTGCGGGGAGAGGGAGCGGGGGCGCCGGGGCCGCCGCGGGAGACCCCGCCGTACATTCGGGCGGCGGCGACCCGCGGGGCAGCGCCCGGGGCCGGTCCGTGCTGCCGGACCGCCCCCCCGGGCCTCCCGGGGGTACTCGGGCCGGCCGAGCCGCTCCCCGCTGAGCGCCGGCCAAGGCGGGCGGGCGGCCCGCAGCTCCCCGGCCCCTGTTTACTCCTGTTTCCCCCGGCTCCATAACAACGGGCCGGGCGCAGCCCCGGGGCCGCCCCAGCCCCGCTCCCCCGGCCCCAGCCCCCGGGTAACGGGAAGGGGGGGACACGACACACGGGACTTTCCCCTCCCTCCGCTGCCAGCGGGCTCCCGCCCCTGTTTTCTTTCCATGGAAACAGGCGGGACGGAGCGCGGGTCCCGGCCCCAGGGACGCGGCAAGCGCATCCATCCCCGGCCCCGGGGCTCCGCTCCGCCGCGCTCGGTGCACGGAGCGGCTCCGGGCCGGTGCTGCGGGGCCGCCCCGCGGTGGGGGCGGGCGGAGCCGGCCCGTGTGGTTCCGGGTCGGGCGGGAAGATGGCGGCGCCCATGGAGCTGTTCTGCTGGGCCGGGGGCTGGGGGCTGCCCTCGGTGGACCCCGACTGCCTGGCCGTGCTGGTGAGCGGCGGCGGGGCCGGGGGCGGCGGCGGGGCCGGGGCCTGTGCGTCCCCCCCGCGGCCGAGCCCCCGCTCCCGCCGCCTCTCTCCTCTCCCGCAGACCTACGCGCGGTTCACGGGGGCGCCGCTGAAAGTGCACCGGGTCACCAGCCCCTGGAGGAGCCCCTCCGGTAAGGGCCCCCGCCGGGG